AATAATCAAAACCAAGAAATTGGAGATACATTCGTTAGATTACTCCTTTCTGCCCCTGGATGCCGCCGAGTAAGCATCGTTAAAGTCTCCCCTCCCACCGCCGTCAGGTCTAAGAGTCTCCCAAAGAGCCTGAGCAGCTGCGGAAGCTCTTCATTGGGGGTTTGAGCTTCAAAACAACCGATGAGAGTCTGAGGAGCCATTTGAGCAATGGGGGACATTTCTGGACTGTGTGGTAATGAGAGACCCCAACACCAAGCGCTCCAGAGGCCTTGGGTTGGTCACCTAGGCCACCGTGGAGGAGGTGGACGCGGCCATGAACTCAAGGCCGCACAAGGTGGATGGAAGAGTCGTGGAACCAAAGAGGGCAGTCTCCCAAGAAGATTCTCAAAGACCCGGTACCCACTTAACTGTGAAAAAGATTTTTGTTGGTGGCATCAAAGAAGACACTGAAGAACATCATCTAAGAGATTATTTTGAACAGTATGGGAAAATTGAAGTGATTGAGATCATGACTGACCAAGGCAGTGGCAAAAAGAGAGGTTTTGCATCTGTGACCTTTGAGGACCATGACTCTGTAGACCAGATTGTCATTCAAAAATACCACACTGTGAATGGCCACAACTGTGAAGTAAGGAAAGCCCTATCGAAGCAAGAGATGGCTAGTGCTTGGTCCAGCCAAAGAGGCCGAAGTGGTTCTGGAAACTTTGGTGGTGGTCGTGGAGGTGGTTTTGGTGGGAATGACAGCTTTGGTCGTGGAGGGAACTTCAGTGGTCAAGGTGGCTTCGGTGGCAGTCGAGGTGGTGGTGGATACGGTGGCAGTGGGGATGGCTATCACGGATTTGGTAATGACAAAGGAAGCAACTTTGGAGGTGGCGGAAGCTATAACGATTTTGGCAATTACAGCAATCAATCCTCAAATTTTGGACCCATGAAAGGAGGAAGTTTTGGAGGCAGAAGCTCTGGCCCCTATGGTGGTGGAGGCCAATACTTTGCCAAACCACGAAACCAAGGTGGCTGTGATGGTTCCAGCAGCAGCAGCAGCAGCAGCAGCAGCTATGGCACTGGCAGAAGGTTTTAATTACTGCCAGGAAACAAAGCTTAGCAGGAGAAGAGAGCCAGAGAAAAGAAGTGACAGGGAAGCTACAGGTTGCAACAGATTTGTGAACTCCTGGCCCTCATCTCTCAGTTTCCCTCTCGCCCACAGGAGTGGGCATCGGAGTGGAGGGGCCAGGGCAGACATACCCGTTCTGCTGGCTGAGGCCACACTGCTACCAGTCCAGCTGAATGAGCCATATTCTGCAGGTATGTGACCAGATGGAGCCAAGGAAGGTGGTGGCAGATATGGGACAGAGGTGGAAGCCTGCCTACCTGCCCTCTCAGAGGCCAGCTCAACCCCCAGGCCCCAGCGTTTGGCAAGGCCTGACCTGTTTTAACTGCTCAGGTAACATTTGAAAATATTTAGCAGACTCATTCTTTCCTGCATGCCCATCTCATGTCCCACGGTGATATTTTTGTTAACATTTATTTATTGCTTTTGGCAGACAGCAATAATCATCATAGACTATTTGGAAAACACAAAAATGCCCAAAGAGTGAAATGGGAATCCCCTGCAAATATCACCTCTTCCTTAATAACCAATGATAAGCTTTGGGGGACTTCGTTTTACAAGCCTAATGCTAATGTACACATATTTATATTTTTATCAGAAAAGTGATTGTACTGCGCATGCTCTTTTGTAATCTTTTTGCATTGAATAATTTCCCAAGTATTTTCCCATGCATGACTTAAATACCCTTTTGAAATGTGATTTTTAAGGGAAAAACTGATTTTATGAATACCAGCCTCCATTAATTCCACAAACACTCTTTAAAAACTCTCCAATGAAAAGTATATTAACTCTAATGTATGCTCAGCCCTTGGGTTGGACATCCCTCAGCGAAAGCACGAAGTATTTTCAAGTATGACATCACTCTTTAAAGCAGCACAAGTACAGGAGTCACCTTGATGAATCAGCTTCTGAACACTGGGCATGATGGAGCCCCAAATATTTGAAATTGGGACTCACACAGCCTGAGCTGTGATAGTATTTCTTTTCTTTTTTTAATTTGATTTATTTATTCATGAGAGAGAGGCAGAGACATAGGCAGAGGGAAAAGCAGGCTCCCCGTGGGGAGCTGGATGTGGGACTCAATCCCAGGACCCCAAAATCATGACCCAAGCCAAAGGCAGACCTCAACCACTGAGCCACGCAGGTGCCCCGCAGATGGTGGATTTCTGCACCCGATCCTGATTACACAGGACTGAGAAAATTCGTGATTCACAATAAAAAGGTCTGTTAGTTCCTGGGCTCTTAGAATGAATGGGGCCCTGAAGCAGGGACTGTTAGAACCCCCATTTCACAGAGAGGCACACTGAGGCTCAGAGAGTGCATTGGGGGTTGTGAGAACCTGGTGCTGCCCCTTTGCCTCCCTCAGAGAGTCTGAGTCACAGACAAGGTCACTGTGAACTTGCTTATGAGGGCACACCCGAATTTAAAAGCAGATTAGGCCAGAATCACCCCCCTTTCCTTGACATGTTTATGAGGCAGTCAAATATGTGCACAGGGTGATGGAGATTTTCCATTCCAGGGCCTCTAGGAAAGCCAGTTAGGTCAGTTAGCCCGGAGCAGCTCTTATGTGTTAAAATACGGTGTGTAGGGGTCTGGGTGGCTCAGTAGGTTAAGGTGTCTAACTCTTGATTTCGGCTCAGGTCATGATCTCAGGGTGGTGGGATCGAGCCCCATGTCAGGCTCTGCACTCCATTATGGAGTCTGCTTGTCCCTCTCCCTCTACTCCTCCTCCCACTTGCTCGTTCTCTCTCTCACTCTCTTGCTAAAATAAACAAAAGCTTGAAAAGAATTTTAAAATAAAATATGATGTATATCACATCTGCATGATGTTTTAAAATTCTGGCTTGCAAAGTAAAGCTATATGTTGCTCAGTATTGTGAAACCACTTTTCCTGTTTTTGAAAAATAACAACCTTTGTAAAAAGTTTTTCAAATATTATAAAGTTATGTGTGGTGTGTAGACCTTCCTCTTCTCAGCCCTCCATTCTGCTCCTCTCCTCAAAGGAGTTCTTCGTGGGGAATACATATATATATACGTGTGTATATACACATATATATATATATATATAATTTTTAAAATTTTTTATAACTTAATTTTTTTTAAATTTATTTATGATAGTCACAGAGAGAGAAAGAGAGAGAGGCAGAGACATAGGCAGAGGGAGAAGCAGGCTCTATGCACCAGGAGCCCGATGTGGGATTCGATCCCGGGTCTCTAGGATCGCGCCCTGGGCCAAAGGCAGGCGCCAAACCGTTGCACCACCCAGGGATCCCTATATAACTTAATTTTTAAATAATTTTTATAAAAATGAGCTCACTTATGTATCCTATTCTGCTTCTTGCCTTGTTTACTTAACAACAGATCAAGATGATCTGTGATGCATCTATACCCTGGAATGGATTGCAAAAGTTAAAAAAAAATGGATTCATAAATACTGACATGGAAAGTGACCATAACATATAGTTAAGTGAAGAAAGCAGGTTACAACACAGTATTTTAAAGCATGATTCTGTGAAACATGTGTGTGCACTTATGTAAATATCTAGAGATGTGTTGATATAAACTTTTGAAAAGCCATAAGGGACATTCATTATGTGTTGATAGCAATTATCGAGGGGGAGTGGGCCCGATTTGGGGAGGGGTTGGGATTTACCAGGGAACGAAACGTGGGATGCTTCCATTTCTAAATTTTTATAATCTTTAAGCAGAAGGGTTACAAATGATCTTGAAGGGTTTTTTTTTTAAGGTTTTCTTTATTTATTCATGAGAGACACACAGAGAGAGGCAGAGACACAGGCAGAGGGAGAAGCAGGCTCCCTGTGGGGAACCCAATGCGGGACTTGATCTTGGGACCCCGGGATCATGACTTGAGCCAAAGGCAGACGCTCAACCACTGAGCGACCCAGGCGTCCCTGATCTTGGAGTTTTTAAAGTATTTTTTCCCACTCTTTTAAACATTATTCTAAAAACATTGACCCATTTCTTTAAAAAGAAAAGACCAGCCCTGAATATGTAGCTATAGGAATAAAAGTACTGTATGTGGTTTGCAAGTTTTTCTCCTCTGCATTTCTTGGAGATTTTTCCATGTTAAAGCATTATATTTTACCACTGTGTGGTATTCTAGACTATAGACATAGCACAACTAATTTAACCATTCCGCTACAGAGGCTCATTTAGGTCGCTGTAATGAACATCCTTATATATACTTTCCAATTATTTATACCATTATGACATCTTTTTACATTGGCTCACATAGCTCTGTCTTCTTAAATAGCCACAAGAAATCCAGTCCAAGGATATAACATGAGTTGTACAACCCACCCCCTGCTGATGGATGTTTCCAGTTTTTCACCCTAACAAAAAAACCTCTTTGACCATTACAGGTTTTTTAAAGTGTATTTTAAGGGATGCCTGGGTGGTTCAGTCGGTTAAATGTCCCTTTGGCTCAGGTCATGATCCCAGGGCCCTGGGATGGAGTCCCTGGGTCGGGCTCCCTGCTCAGTGGGGTGCCTGCTTCTCTCTCTTCTCTCCACTCATGCTCTCTCTCACTATCTCTGTCTCTCTCTCTCAAATGAATAAATAAAATCTTTTTAAAATAAATAAAAGTATACTTTAAAAAAAGGTAATATCTGAATTCAGCGTTTGCAGACCATCGGCGGACCAGTGGAGTAAATGAGGACCCTGGGAAATGTCATTTGGTGGGGTAGGAAGCCAGACCCTCACCTAGATTGAGCTCCTGGATCCAGACATGCCTGAAGCCAGCAATAATTGAGTCAGTTACACAGGCCAAGAAACTCCTTGTTATATCTCAGTCAGGGCCGGTCAAGTTTCAGCCACTTCTGTCGGAAGAGTTCTTGTGCATTTGCCTTCGGCCCAGAAGAAAACGAATTAATTCATTCAACCAGTATTTATTGACTATCGATGCTTGTCCCGTTGCTGGGGACAATACAGTGGCCGGGACAGAGCTTGTCCCTCCCCTCATGGCAGTCGCACTCTACCAGAGAATCAACAATCACGAACTATTTAGCACAAGTGCCAACCATGCAGGAGGCCTCGGGGAGCTACAAGAGAGGCCTTGGGGATGGGGTAGTGGGATTCGGGAACGGTCCCCTGAGGGCAGGACTTTAAGTTGATGCTGAAAGATGGGCCAGGAATCAGCAAAGTGAAATGAGGTCAAAGGCTAGAGGTTCATGTACACATGTCCAAGTCCTGGCAGGGCTCAGAAAGCTGGTGAAAGTTCTTCAGAGGGGAGGGAGGGATGGTTGAGGGAGGTGGTAAGGGGAGAAGTGAGGAAACGGGCACAGGAGGAGGAGGAGGAAGAGGAGGAGGAGGAGGAGGTGGCCGAGGTGTGCAGGTGGCCTTCCCTTCTTGTTCCTCACAAGGTGGTGTAGAAGTACATAGCTATCAGCATCACGGGGAGCTGGATGAGGAGGCAGTCAGGTGAGGGGCGCTCCAGCCCCGCACCCGCACCCACACCCCACCTAGCCCGCAGGCTCCCCGCCTCTCACCGTCCACATGAGGATGGCAAACCCAAACCACGAGATACCCCATGTGTAGCTGTCGATGGCGTGGCCGATGTGCTCGAAGCAGCCCTGCGCAGGGGGAACACGGTGGTCTGAGGAAATGCCCCGGCTAGCACTGAAGGGGGGTCAGGGTGTGCCCTTCCGAAGGTCACTTCCTTCCCCAGCCTTGGTTTTCTCACCGTGCAGCGGGAACTGTGATGTCACCGCCCAGAATGGTTCTGGGGAGCCGGGGATGTGATGCTGACCCCCAGCCCCGCCCGAGGAGGTGCCCAGGAGGGGGGTGGCTAGGACAGCCTGAGGGCCACTTGGTTTAGAGCTGGCTTTCCATGCTGCCCCCCAAGTTCCAAGGGTTCAAAATCTACCTGCCTTTAGGATCCGGGCAGGTTTGGTACCTCCCCATTTAGGAATGAGGCCGAGTGGGGCCCGAGCCTCAGAGCAGGCCCCTGCCCGGACTGGGAAGCGGCTCAGAACCCTGCGGCCCGGCCCGGCCCGGAGTCCGGGGCTGCGCTCCAGCTCGGCCACTCGTTAGCTATGGCACCTAGGAATGGTTCTGACTCCCTGAGCCTCATTTTGCCCAGCCGTGAAGTGACGATCTCCAAGTGACATCTCGACAGCGCTGGCCACCGAATCCAATCGTGGGGAGTCGGTGAAATGACGCCCCGCGCGCACTGGTGGGAAGGACGGTCGGTGCAGGTGCAGGCTCCCCTCTCCCAACACTTGATCTAAGACGTGAGGCTGGGTCACTTGGGTGGCTCAGCGGTTGTCTCTGCCTTTGGCTCAGGGCGTGATCCCAAGGTCCTGGGATTGAGTCCCACATCAGGCTCCCCATGGGGAGCTTGCTTCTCCCTCTGCCTATGTCTCTGCCTCTCTCTCTCATGAATAAAAAAAAAAAAAAAAAAAAAAAAAAAAAAAAAAAAAGACGTGAGGCTGCAGGGCCCGAGGTAGCCACAAGCCCAAGCCCACAGGGGCATGGGAAGAAGTCCTCACCCCCTCTGCTTCCTCGCTCTGCCTCTGCTCGCACCTTGCACTCGTTAAAGCGCCTACCTGGGGCCCGACTCAAATCCAGTCCCAGCTCCATCCCTCACTGGCAGGTGAACTCAGTTTCACCTTCCTCAAAATGGGATCATTATAATCTTTGACCCTGTACAGCGTAGAGGCTCAATAAACATCGGCCCTTGTGGCTGTTGTGCCCTTGCTGGGATTCCTGTTGCCCTTATTCCCAGACAACCTGAGAAAAAGTCGCAGGTGCCAGCTCCGGATCACACAGACCCTGTGCCTCCCCCGGGCTTGCAGGGAGGGAGGGACAGATGGGGAGAGGGCGGAGACCGCCAGAGGGAGGGGAGAAAGGAAGAAGCCAGAGTGGGGAGGAGGAGAAGAAAGTGGGAGGAAGAGATAAAGAACCAGAGGGGGTGGGACAGACTGACGCACAGACAGGTGAGCAGTTGCAGGGACGCACCTTGGTGAACAGGTAGTCCGTGTGACCCAGGCGGCAGCCCTCTTCATTGAGGGGGATGAAGTTGCCATTCCGCCGACAGCACAGCGGAGGCCAGGGGAACACCACCTCCGGGGTGGCTGCCCGGAAGGCTGACGTGAAGTTCACCCAGTCCATGGGACCAGACGTGCCACAGCACTCTTGCTGGAGAGAAAGGCAGGGGTGAGGCAGGCCCTGGCTCAGAGAGGACAGCCACTACAGACGGAGGAAGGGCCAGGTTGGCCACAGCTGGACCCGACTTCCCTAACCACCCCCATCCGGGCCTGGGCCTCGAAGTTGGGGGCAGGCAGTGTCTTGTGTGTGAACCCGGAGCAGAAGATACTGCCGGCACCTAGAGGCTGATGGGGGCTTTGTTTTTCTCTTTTTAGGATTTTATTATTTATTTATTCATGAGAGATACAGAGAGAGAGAGAGAGAGGAGAGAGAGAGAGGCAGAGACACAGGCAGAGGGAGAAGCAGGCTCCATGCCGGGAGCCCGACGTGGGACTAGATCCAAGGTCTCCAGGATCACACCCTGGGCCCAAAGCGGCGCTAAACCACTGAGCCACACTGGCTGCCCCCAATGGGGGCTTTGAGTCAAACCCACACTTGTGACTCATTCTAAAATTCTTTTGAATTAGCTCTCAACCAAATTTGAGGTAAATGACACCAAAAGAAGGATTTCTGGCTTCTTCTGGCCCCTGCGGGTGTTTTAATTGGTATCTCCAAATGATGAGAACATAGGCTCCTTCAAATATGAGTTCCAGTCCTGGCTAGCTGTGGGACTTGAACCAAACTGGGACCTCACTGTCCCCTGGGTCTTCAGAATTCTTCTCTTGTTCCATATCACGTTGGGTTTAATTAAGAAGGTGGCTTCTGGGGGGTGCCTGGGGGGGTGCAGTCAGTTGGGCATCTGACTCTTGGCTTCGGCTCAGGTTGAGATCAGTCGTGATCCCAGGGTTGTGGGGTCAGGTCCTGCATTGGGCTCTGAGTGTCTGCTTGAGACTCTCTTTCCCTCTCCCTCTGCTCCTTCACCGCCCACCCCCCCCACACACACCTACGCGCCCTCTCTCTCTCTCTCTTTCAAATAAGTAAAAAAGTGAATATTAAAAAAGAGGGGAAAAAAAAGAGAAAAAAAAAAAGAATGTGGCTTCTAGAAACTGGTGGCCTGGGTTTGCATCCTTCCGGTTCTCTGGCCTACCAGCTATGTGACCTTGTATAAGCCACTCGACCTTTCACCTTGGTTTCTTCATGGCTAAAAAGCTGACCTCCCTTATGGGGTGGTTGTGTGGATTAAATAAGCTTTAAAAATGCTTATTTAAACAACAAAAGTTAGTGCTCATTAAATGTTCATTATTATGAATAGCCTCATTATTAAGAAAGTATCTGCAATGGTCAAGAGCAGGGGCTCTGAGGGACGCCTGGGTGGCTCAGTGGTTGAGCGGCTGCCTTTGGCTCAGGTTGCGATCCTGGGGTCCTGGGACCGAGTCCTGCATCGGGCTCCCTGCATGGATCCTGTTTCTCTCTCTGCCTGTGTCTCGGCCTCTCTCTCTGTGTCTCTCATGGACAAATTTTTTAAATCTTAAAAAAAAAAAAAAAGAGCAGGGACTGTGGATCTAGGATGTTAGATTTTGATCCCAGCTTACCAACCATGTGACATTGGGCAAGTAACGTTCCCTTTTCTGGGTCTAACTCTTCTGGAAAGAGGCCATGACTAGCCCCGCCTCCCAGAAGAACCACAGGACTGGGTATCATCTACCAGTGGGTATAATGGGGTCCTACTTCTGGGGTCCAGAGCCATGGGTGCCCCGGCTCTCCCCACCCCCTCACCCCCTGAACCCCCCTCATCCACCTCAATCATGATGCGGTCCCAGAGGCGAGTCAGTTCCTGGCCCTGGTCTGTGTCTGCACTGTAGAAAGTCAGCATCTGCTTGGTAATCAGGGAAGGGTTGGACACCATCTGCAGAGGTCCAGGTAGAACAGGGTCCAGTGGGACTAGGTCGGGAGGGGGTCAACCTCCACTCCACCCCCAGACCCAGACCCTTGCCACCCTTCCCCCAGGTCACGCCCCTCCCCTGGTCTCTGCCCAGCTCACATAGTCGCGATGAGTGTAGGATGTGATGCAGGAGGCGCACTCGAAGATGTAGACGATGAGCATGAGCACCAGGTACTGGGGAGAGATGGGGTCAAGGCTTTTGCCTTTTCTGTATGTTTGAAAATTTTTTATAATAAAATGTTAGGGGAAAATGAAATCAACAAAAATATGTAAAGTATTGCCTGAAATTAATTATTGGTCTGGATGCAGTAAAATGAATGTCTGCTGTAGAAAAAAAAAAAGACACTCTTCAGACAACCCAAGAACGCAGAGCAGGTATTGGAAGATAGACATGAAGGAACGTGGGTGAATTTGTAGGGTGTACCAGGTGGCATGGTGGTTGTGCATAAGAAGAAAAAAAAAAAAGCTCTTTCCTCATCCCTCACCCTCTCCCTTAAAGCGACAGGGGGTGGAATGTGGATGTGCCAACTCCTCTGCCAAGAGATGAGGTGATGCAGCATAACAGGCCCGGCTGCTCTAAAAACATCCTTATCACTCAGAGAAATGTGCACTCGAGTATTTACAGGTAAATGACTTGGTGTCTGGAATGCACGTCAAGATACCCCAGAAACAAGAATGCAGGCAGAGGGTGGAGCAGAGGGGAGCAGGCTGGCCAGGCTGCGGTCGATATTGTTGAAACCAGGTGATAGGTTCAGGCCATTCACTCTATGTTTGAAGTTTCCCACAGCAATTTTAAAAAAAAAAATCCGTGTCTTGGTTAATGATAAACTAATAGGCGAGACAGACACAGACAGAGTTGTTTTTTTTTTGTTTTGTTTTTTTGCCAGTGGGGTGAGCTTTGAGGGCTTTGGTTAAATTTTTATGTCAAAGAATTGCATGCACGAAAGAAAGAAAAAAAAAAAAGAGAGAGAAGAGCCTTTCCAAGCCTTTCCAAGGCTCCATGTTACTTCCGATGAAGTCAGAGTCCTTCCCGAGGCTGGAGAGACTCCCCGACAGACTCCCCGACAGGCCCACTTCCCTTTCTCGCCCCCATCCTGCATGCCCACCGCCCTCTGTACCCTCACCCGGCCCTCATCGCCTCTCCCTCACTCCTACCCCCTCTTGGCTGGCGGGGGGGGGGGGGGGGGGGTTAGGGGGCTCTCTGGCTTCAGAGCCTTTGCTCTTGCTGTTCCCTCTCCCAGGAACACTTACCCTGCAGACCTGGGCTCCCTCCCTCAGGTCCCCAGGCCTTCGCCTTCTCTCAGCAGGTGACCCCATCCCCTTCCCCAGCTCCAGATCCCCCTTCCCTCCTCACTGCCCACAATTGGAGCATCCTCCCCCAGGGCAAGGGCTTCTCTGTTTTCTCTCTGGATCGCCCCAGTGCCCTAGTGCAGGATTTGGCCCCTGGTTCTTGCTCCGTCAACATTTGCCGACTGAATGAGCAGCTGCTCCTGGGAACCTAAAAGGCCTCAAATTGCACAAGAATCACAGTGTTGGCTCTGTGTGTGTGTGTGTGGGGGGGGATTGGAATGTCTGCCTTCTTTATCACCCCAGGCCCTTGGCCCCTTTGAGCCTCGGTTTTCCCGTCTGGTAAATGGGTAGAGAAGCAGCAACATCAGAGGGCTGCTGGGGACATCGAGGGGGCTGATGCTTAGCCCGGTGCCAGGCACGGGAGAGGTCCTTGGCAAGTGTGGGTTCTTGTGGTGGTGGTTATTCCTGGCAGAAAATAAGGGGAAGGCTCAAGCTGAACTGCTCAGGTTTAAATCCTGGCTCTGGGGGCGCCTGAGTGGCTCAGTGGTGGAGTGGCTGCCATTGGCTCAGGTCGGGATCCTGGGATCCAGTCCCACATCAGGTTCCCCACAGGGAGCCTGCTTCTCCCTCTGCCTGTGTGTCTCTCATGAATAAATAAATAAAAATTTAATAATAATAATCAATCAATCCTGGCTCTGTCACCCACTCACTGTGCACTTCCCTGAGCCTCAGTTTCAACTCTGTCAAATGGGCCCGCGATGATGATGGCATCTCCTGATGGGTTGTGAGGAATAAGTGCACCGATCTGTGCAGAGCATTTAGAATGCACTGAGCACCCCTTACAGGGGAGCTGTGCTGCTCCTGCTGTTTCCACAGAGCTCACGAGCACAGACTCGGCCCAGCCAGCTGAGGTCCCCACGCATCCCAGGCCTGCCACGCAGGAGCCGTCCTCCTGGGCAGAGCATCCTTCCCTTCCTCTCTGTGCCCTAGTTTTCTCTGTAAATTGAGGGTGGCAGCCGCGCCCCGTTCCCGGGCTATGGCAAGATTAAACAGAGTGACTGTGTGAGGCCCAAGCGCGGCGCCCCGCGGGACACACTGGTGGCCGTGGTGGCGCTGGCTGCCCCGGCTCTGCGCGCCCGCGCCCTCCCCGCGCCCTCCCCGGGGCCTCACCGTGACGATCATGGACCGGCGGCGGCACAGCGCTGCGCCCACCCCAAAGCTGGCCACCACGAAGAAGGAGAAGCCGCAGAAGATGGCGATCCAGGCGCCAGCAAAGACGTCATCCTTGCCCGAGACGCCCATCAGTGGGTACACGCGGTACTGGTCAGCGGTCACCCACACCGTCTCCGCGAACAGGGCCAGGCCTGCCAGCTGCACGGGGCGGCGGGTTAGAGAGGGCCCTGCCAGCCTGCACGGCCCGGGGTGGTGGGCGCGCTGTGGGGCGAGGGCGCCGCCTTGCATCAGCAGGAGTGGGGCTGGGGGGCTGGGGGGCTGGGGGTGGGCAGATGGGGCTGGGGCTGAGTGGCTGGGCAGATGGGGCTGGAGGGCTGGGGCTGGGCAGATGGGGCTGGGCAGCTGGGGGACTGGGGCTCTGTGGTGCTCGGTGTTACCAGCCCAGGGCACGGCTGCTGTTCGGGCCCACACAGCCAGGAGCCACATGCCCCGCTCTGCTCTAAGCACATTAATCCAATAACTCATCCGCACTCCTATTTTTCTCTCCATCTACAGATGAGAAAACTGGGCCCAGAGACGTTGTGTTGCTGGTCCCAGATCCCACGGGAGAAAGTGGCAGAGCTGGGATTTGAACCCAGGCTGTCTGGCTCCAGAGCCAGGTACAAATAGCACGTTTTAAAAAAATTAAATATTCATGAAAAGACGTGGCTACGGTTAATATTCATCACTGTGGGCCTCCTGGGCCCCAGCAGGCACTTTATGTCTAGAATCGTGGTAATGAGGATAGCATTTGTCAAGCACCGTTTCTGAGCTGAGGGCCATCCGGGGAATAATCCACTAACAATCCCCACGATGGGGACGCGATCCACATAGTTGGGGCGGCAGAGAAGTAGAGCGGCTCGCTCCCGCCTACAGAGCTGGGACTGGAATCCAGGCTGCTCTGAGCCGGCAGCCTGCAGTGTTGGCCGTGGCAGTGGGAGTGGGGGGCGTCCTGGGACCTCAGCCCCCACCCTGGGGCTGTCCCCTCCTCCCCACCTGCCCGCTGGGCGCCCAGCACGGGGGGGGGGGGGGGGGGCGGGGGCTCACCAGAATTATGATGTTGCCCACCACCAGCAGTCCCACCACGACCGGAGACCCCTTCTTGGCCTCTGTCGCCGCAGAAGCCATAGTCCTGCCCGGGGCCCAGGAGCAGGAATGAGGCCAGGGAGAGGCGGGCAGGGGGGGAAGCCCCGCGGGCCCCAGCACCCTCCCTCCCCGGCCCAGCTGCCCGCTGGGCCCCGACGACGGCAGGTGGAGTGAATCCTCCTGCAACCCCCTCGGGGGGCCACTGGGCGGAAGGGAGGGCCAAGGCTCAGGCTGTCACTGGCTGGGGCGCCCCAGGTGCCCTGCTCTGCAGACCCCAGAGCCCGCTCCTCACCTGCCCTGTCCGCGCCTCCGTGGCCAGCCCCTCCCACAGCAGCGCCCCTATATAAGCCCAGGCCTCTCCAGGAGGGGGCAGGTGTCTGGAGGAGGGAGAGGGGTCAAGCAGGCCGACCAGCAAGGAAGTTTTATGAGCCCCCCCAACACACCCAAGTGATTCATAGACCTGAAATTCAAGATTGTGCTCGTGTCTGGCGACAGGAGCAGGGTGACGCGCCCGAGGCCTGGTTCCCAGGCTGCCGTGCTGGTGGAGGGGGTGGCTTGGGAGGGTGAGAGCCCCACTTGCCTCTCCTCAGGACCGGGGTCTTCCTGGGAGCGGGGGAGACCCCAGGCGGAGCCACAGGCGCCTCCTGAGTCCCAGCGCTTCAGTCCTGTGCTCTCCGAGGCTGGGAGCCCGGGGGGGGGGGGGGGGGGGGGCCGGACAGGGACCCCAGCGGCTAGGACAGGGCTGGACCAGGCCAAGGAGGTGGGAGGAGTGGGGGCTGGTGGGAGGGCAGCTCAGGAGGCTGAGGACATGGGCTGCAGGCTGAGGGGAGACCTGCTTGAGGCAGGTGGGTGAGGAGAGCTCCAGGCGAGTGTATGGGGGGGGAAGACGAGAGCGTGCTAGAAAAAGAGAGAGGGCACACTGACGGGCTGGGTGGGTGAAAAGCCCCCCCCCCCCCAAGGACAAAGCAGGGTCAGAGCAGGAGCTGTGGGAAATGTCTTCAGGCCACAGAATCAGAGACCGAGGTTGAAATCCCAGTTCGGCCTCCTTTGGGCTGCGCAACTTGCTATGTGCGTTCGCCCACCTGCAGGATGGGGATCATCACACAACTGTCCCTGGTAGCAGTGGGAACTGAGGGCCCGGATGTCTGCAAAGGCTGTCCTCTGGCCCTGTGGACTGCCAGAGCCACCTGCGCCCGCAACGCTCCCGAGAGGCCCACTTTTCGCCCGATGGTGCCCCCTAGTGTCACAGGGCTGCTTCCTCAGGTGAAAATGGCTTGGGGCACCCAGGCCTCCGGGAGACCCTGCCCTCCCTCCCTCAGTTCGCAAGCACCAAGGCACCGTGTTTTCTCTCTGAGCCGGAGCTCTCTCAGTGCATGTGAAGTGGGCAAATAAATGGAACTGGAAGCTTCAGTGTTAAGACAATGGCTTGGTAATAAAATACAGGAGATGTGTTCTGATTAAAATTAAAATGAGTAATTTGGTTTGCAGTCAATCCACTTTACATTTAAAAATGGTTTTTCTCTGTTGATTTACATTTACATTAAGGACTAATAGAAAAATTTAAATAATAATGTACATGACCTGTCAAGTACATTTTATGAGCTTTAGCTAAAAATCTTGGTTAATAATAGGGCCATGCTAACAATATGAAATATTTTTATTTTCAAATAGTTGGTAACTGTTGATAGTTGGGAGTTATATGTCTCAGCCTTTTGGCTAAGGGCAAGTGTAAAATGTCTAGTAAAAGCAAAAAGTTATCATCATTGGGGCATTACTGTCACCAGTCATAAAAGGGATCTGTTTTGTTCTAGTGTGATGTCAAATTTGAATTTTCATGATTCCTTCTTCTCATTATATAAGCTGGTCTTCAACCAATACATTTTGAAGTACTAATCATTTCCTTTAAAAGATCACAATGCTGGGGTGCCTGGGTGGCAGAGTCAGTCAGGTGTCCAACTCTTGACTTTGGTTCAGGTCATGATCTTGGGGTTATGGGATCAAGTCCTCCTACTTGGATGCTCTCTCTTAAAAAAAAAAAATGAAAAGAAAAAAAATCACAATGCCAAGATCTCCTAAAGAGGACGGATGCCTCTCCTATGACTATCCTATAATCCAGCCATTTGTCTCTGGGAATCCCCCATCTGTATCTACCAAATGCTCTGAATGTATTCATATTAGCCCCAAGCTGGAAACCACCCAAATGCTCCTTACCAGTAGAATGGGTAAGTCCATTATGCCATATGCATATAAGGGATACTATTCAGCAATAAAAAGCAGTGAACTATTAGCACTTGCAACTACAGAGATGAATTTCAAAAGCATTACACTAAATGATAAAAGCCACACTCAAAAGACTAACCTTACCGTTCTAGAAATAAAGTTCTAAAACAAGCAAGACCAATTGAGGGGGATAAAAGCCAGGGGAGGGGTTATCCTTAGGGGCGTGGTGACTAGAGGGGATTTCTCTTTCTTGATTTGGACACTGCTTACTTACATGGGGTATTCAGATTGCGAAAATTTGTCAGGCTGTACAGTCACAGTAAGTGCACTTTTCTGCGTATATGTATATATTCTTATTTTCAAAGCGTCTTTTTGTAAAAGATTGTATTTATTTATTCATGAGAGACACAGAGAGAGAGGCAGAGACACAGGCAGAGGGAGAAGCAGGCTCCCTGTGGGGAGCCTGATGCGGGACTTGATCCCAGGACCCCAGGATCACGACCTGACCTCAACCACTGAGCCGCCCAGACACCCCAATTGCAAAGTGTTCTAAAGAGGGTAAAGCCTTTCCAAAGAAACATATTTGATGTGCCAAAGGGGTGTTTTCCAAAGGGGGCACAAGAGATTATTTTCGGCTACGAACTTGAAAGGAAATGGCATGAACCCATGTAACTGGCAGCTAATGGGAAAATGACTTAGTTCTGATCCCGACGGTGCCATCCAGAAAGGCTCAGTAGTTCGATGCTCTGTCCTAAACACCGCTCTCACCTTGCTTAGAGGAGGTCTCGCTGTCTGACTAGAATCCAATAATATATTTTCATGTATTTCTTTTTAAGACAAGGTGTTTTGTGTCCCATGGTCAGTGGTGACAGGAAAGTCTTCTAAAAATCTCAATATAAAATATTTAAAGTATTTAGGAAAACGTAGAGAATACCTGTAACAAACACCAACATCCTCCCTACCAGCTTTGTCAAATTATTTTTTGTATATTCACTGAAGATTCGTTGTTCTTTTTTTTTTTTTAAGAGGCATACATTGCGGATGGTATTTGAAGCCCCCCGATTTCACCCCAGAGATAACTTCATTACTACATTTGGGGCTCATCATCCTCCACAACCCTTGCATGCTCTTTTTCGGATCCCAGGTGCCCTGGGTTGAGCTAATTTCACACCCTCAGCTCATTATTCTCCACAAGATATCTCTTGTCTTAAATTTGACTTACTCCCTTATAACTCCATATCCCAGTCGCTCTCCATGCCCTCTGCTGGCAAACACTAATATGTCCGTACGTATCCTTCTAGTTGGGTGTGCTCCTGTAAGACGGATACCATCATTTTCTGTGTATTTTCTTTGTTCCTTTTTTGTTGTTTTTGAGATTTATTTGTTCTTAGAGAGAAAGAGAGGGAGAACCTCAAGCTGACTCCATGCTGAGCCCGCCCTGGGGCTCCATCTCATGACCCTGAGATCACGACCTGAGTGGAAACCAAGAGTAGAACCGTTAGCCGAGGGGGCCACCCAGGCGCCCCAAGGGCGTATTTTCTGATAGACATACCCATGACTGTGTTCAATCTTTTCTCGCTTGGCACAGGCTTTAGGACTCAGAGTGTGCAGCTTCTCATGGTTGCCCGGGGCCCCTCTGGTATGCCCTCTCCACAGTGTACCATCTCCTCCCCAGTGAGGACACTCAGGCTCCTTCCAATACCCCCCAACCCCGACCACTACCATTGTAAACAGTTGCGAGCACCCCCCATGCAGGGCCCTCAGGGACTTCTAGGTGTCCTCCCAGGGAGAACCGTTGGGTCGTGAACAGGTATGTGCCAGGTTGCTTTCCGCAATGGCTGACCCTTCCACACTCAGACCAAGAGTTCGTGAGGGTTCCCGCACCCTCCCAACACCACTCACACTTGCCATTATCCAGCTTTCTAGTTTTTGTCAGAGTAATTCCGTGTAGTGAGAACTGCCATTATTTCAATTCTCACTTCTCTTATTACTAACAAATTTGAGCTTCTTTTCAAACGTGTGTGAGCCTTTTGGGTTCCCACACTCGAAATACTTTCATATTTTGAACATGCATATGTTCATCAATATATAGAACAGTTCTCGATTTTTAGGTAAATTCTATATAAAGTGCACCTCATATATCCTCATGCAGTGGACTTTTTTCACCTTCATTTCACCTTCATTATGCTTTTGAAATTTATTCATCACATATGGGGCTCTAGCTCATCCTTTTTTTTTTTTTGTTTCCTTTTTTCTTTTTTTCTTTTTGGCAAGAATACTTCCTAGGTTAGGTTTTCTTCCCAAATTCATTTTGACAAAGATGATAAAGAACACAGGGCACCTGGGTGGCTCAGTGGTTGAGCGTCTGCTTTTGGCTCAGGTTGTGATCCCAGGGTCCAGGAATCGAGCCCTGCATCAGGATCCCTGCAGGGAGCCTGCTTTTGCCTCTGCCTCTCTCTCTGTGTCTCTCATGAATAAATAAATGAAATCTTTAAAAAAAAAAAAAAAAAAAAGATGATAGGGGCAGCCCGGGTGGCTCACGGTTTAGCGCCACCTTCAGCCCGGGGTGTGATCCTGGAGACCTGGGATGGAGTCCCATGTCAGGCTCCCTGCATGGAGCCTGCTTCTCCCTCTGCCTGTCTCTCTCTCTCTCTCTCTCTGTTTCTCATGAATAAATAAATATTAAAGAAAAAAGATGATAGAGAACAATGGCAGTGCACACAGACCTAGTGACAGTCTGCAACCTGAAGTCTGAGCACTAAGGTAATAAGCAAACTTAAAACTCAGGTGCTCCCTGGGTCAGCTGAGCAACAGAGGGCCTGAAATGCATGGGGAGGTGTAGGCTCCCAAGAAAGGGGGACTTCGGAGCTGGGTGGGACCAGCGTCAAGTGCAGGATGAGGAGGAGAGAGGAAAGAGAGAAGGCATGGGGTGACCAGGACGCACTGTGAGGCGGTGAAGCAAGGAGGAAGGTGCTAGGGTGGAGTAGTCAAAAGGGCTTTTTTTGGTTTTTTCTCAAATTCACTGAGCTCCGAGTCTGTGATCAGGCCGGAACTAAGCATCAAGGACTCGGTGCACGTGAGTTTTGTCATGCCCAACCTTGTGCGGGGCCTTG